AAGTTGGTCAAAAAATTAACTTTATCTGAGGATAGCGATTTTTGAACAAATTTCTTAGTATGTGTTTTTCCAACGTTCAACTTAATTTCTGAAAATGCTATTTCAGGACAAGATAGATCAAAGACAGAAATAATTATTCCAATGTTTAAACTTTGAAAAATAACACTTTCGTTTTATGTCCGCCTGGTTCCCCACTGTGCGCCGCTCGTTAGGCCGGTCGCAGGTCGTTCTACCGTATTTAAATTCTAATTTATTTTATTCTGTTTAATTCTGGTTCTTTGATTGTATTGTGGACACATACATGCATTGGTAAATACAGATACTTCCAATGTATTCGTTATATTGTAGTATATAAGCAAGAGAATGCAACAAACGACAAAGAGAATCTAATATGATATCACCGTAAAGCTTTCTATGAAAAAATAGCCAGACTGAACAAAATGTTATATAAACCATAGCTATGTACCATATTATTAAGAAGAAATGGTTTATATTCAAGCTTCCCCTATCTAGTGACCATGCTTGAGTGATCATATTTTTCCATTTTCTCCCATACGCAAGAGAAAATCCAACTGATCTTTAGTATAGAAAAATAGCTCTTGAAAGCTGTATAATATTTTGCGTAAACAAATTCTCCAAATCATTGAATCAATCCATTATAATTCAAATACTAGAAAAATCAAGAAAATGCACTCATACATTGCAGTTTTAAATTTCAATTCTTTCTCCGAATCAACATCATATTTCGAATTAGTGTTAAGAACTGCCTTGAATAATCTTTGTTTCGGTATTTTCAGACAGCTTTGATTGATTTTTCAACAAAACTCTCGGTCGAAAAATTCGAAAAAAATCAAAGTTGTTTAAAAATTCCGAAATAAAGATTGTTCAATGCAATAAATTAAACAAAAGGAAGTAAATTAGAATTTAAATGCGGTAGAACGGCAGAGTGACTGAAAGACCTGCGACCGGCAGAACGGCAGAGCGGCCGAGCGAGCGACATACATTTTGACATGCTCTCGAAGGATCGCTTTTCTTTTAATTTTGCTTTGTCACTAAGAAAATTCTTTTTTTTCTAAATCAGGAGCGAGAAAATTGGAATTCCCATAATTTCTCAACAAAATTCATATTTTATGCAATACAAATATCATACTCGAAGTTAGCGTCGAAAACTGAGTCAAACAATTTATGTTTCGAAATTTTTCGTTGATTTTTATTTTTTAGAGAAAAATCTCAGTAATTTTTTCTATACGAGAAATCAAAAAAAAATTAAAATAATCGGATAGGATAAGAAAACTACACTACTCGAGTCAGTTATCAATGTTTTAACATCGTTTTTTAGTCTAAATAGAAGGGATATTTTCCATCAAATAACTCATTGTGACGTTGTAGATTAACAGAGAAACTTATATTTTACTGAATCTTATTTCTTGAAATATCCACTTTTCGCACAGTATTAGACTTCTAAAGTTTTGAGAAGAGAGTAACTAAAACCTTTTAATGGTGCACAAAATAGAGAATCACTACAATTCGGATGATTTCTTTTCGTTTTGTATGTATTTCAATGGAAAGAATGTAACAAGTTGAGGTATTTTTTATTCTTAGCAAAGTCGTTTTGAGGACGAAATATTCTGTATTAAAATACCTTTCATGAAATTTCCATTTTTAAAGAAAATCGATGAATAAAATACCAAAATTAATGGAAAATTGACCAAGAATATATATGTAATTTTTCATATTCGATTTAATGAAACCCCAACTATAGTTTAGCCTGCCTTCGTTAAGTCAATATTCAAATCGTGAGAAATTTGTGACTTTCGCTAGAATTGAAGATATCTTAAAACTTTTTGGATTTTTGTTGAAAGAAATAACTCCAGATTCGAATAGAGAGTAGAATTTTACGTATTTGCTATGAGTTTGGGGATATGTTTTGGAACGGACTTTATCGAAAAATAGGAACTTCAAAGCAACTTTTCACGTTTTCAAAAGTAGGTGGCAGCCATTTTGAATCCTCCTCTACGTCTTTTCACTTGGTAGCTACTTTTAAACAAATGATGAAGTTACCTGTTGACAACTGTTATTATTAATAGGTAACTTTTGTCAACGTTAGATAAACATTGATGATTTCTATCACAGAAACGAAATCTGTTATGATAAAAACTAGAACAATAACATGTCGATAAATAATATAGCGAAGAAATGGGATAATGTAAATACATTTTACTTTAATGTGAGCACTATTTTCATATCTAGAACTAAATGATTTCTTATTCTGAGTAACAAATGATTGCTGATAAATTAGTTTCACACCTAGCTATTTTGTTGGTAATAGCACATCCCGATGATGAAACATTATACGTTGGTCTTCTTCATGCAATGGTACACAAATTGAATGCTACCTTAGATTTATGTTGTGTAACAAATGGTGAGGGTGGTTATCGTTATTCTCAACCATCTGAAAGTTTGTACGGTTTAAAATTATCAGATGAAATAATTGCTCGTGCACACTTGCCACGAATTCGTAAAGCAGAATTACAAGCCAGTGGAAAAATATTAGGTGTACGCAAATATTTCTATTTGGAACAAAAAGATTTAAAATATAGTCAAAATATTGAAGAAGTATTTCTTGAACAATGGGATCAAGAATTAGTTATTAAACATTTATCAAACATCATTTTGACGGGAAATAATCAGAATGGTTATGATATTGTGTTTGTCATGTTACCAAATCCATCCTCGCATGGTCATCATTCAGGAGCAGCTTTATCAACGTTAAACGCCATTAACTTAATACAGATGAATCAGACAACGACTAATATAATGGATTCATCGAACAAAATACCCATTATTCTTGGTGCTAGCGAATTTAGTCTTGTAGGAGAAAATTTTGACTATAGTACAAAACATTTGATCAATGAACAATGGTATAAAGAACTAGTGAACAGATATCCGTTGTCAAAAATAGATGAAACATCACCGATGTTTACATTTAACCGTACATGGAGATTATCAAATGAATTTGAACATGATTCAATTCATTTGAATTATCACTTAATTTCAATATGGATGTCTGCGGAGCATAAAACGCAAGGAAGTTTAATCCCAGAAACAAGATCAGTATTAGCTAGAGATATTGAACAATATTTCTATTTCCAATTAAATCATAATTATATGGATAACAAAAATGGCGTGGAAAAAATAGAGCACATTCTAAACAAGCTCAAAACAGAACATAATATATCTACTGATAAATGAAGAGATATTTGGTGTACTGCAAAGTCTTTAAATACGAAAATAAAATGAACATTGTAATATATAAAACGTAAATCTAAATGTTTTCAAAGCCAAAACTTTTCCAGAAGAGTTTTCTGAAACAGATTTTCTAGAAGATCTGTGGAGAACTAGGCCGTGTGTAAAACCTACCAGGGAGGATTGTATCGATTTTTTCCATGGGCTGATAGCCCGGGGTGTCTTCATACAAATAGTTAAAAATATTAAAAATTTCACTATTCACTCAAAGAACATCAGAATGAGTTCAGAACCTCCGAATATAGAGTATTTAGGAGATCCGATATTCTATTTATACGAGATTTTGAAAGACATTTAAAAAATTTTAAGGTATTCCAAAAGGACAATCTTAATAGTATCCTGAGGTTTTCTCTCGTTCCGATGTTTGAAGTGAATAGTCAAATTTTTAATATTAGGTGAAAACAGCCTGAAAAACCCACTTTTCGTAAAATTGCTTTTTGGTCGATTTTTAAAAATTTTTAAATACAAATATTGCCATGAGACGCAGCATGGTCAGTTACCCATAGTCCATCCGTCTTCAAGACTACCACTAGTCAACGGGTGCCAGTTCTGGGATTCGTAGGAAATCAGATACAATCCGTGAATCGCGGAAAATCAAGATGTCGCTTGACTCCCATTTTTATGAGGACACGCCGAGGTGAACTGAAATTTACTATAAGTTTGAGGGTGAGTTTTGACCCCAGGATATATATGAGTTTACAGAGGAATACTTGCTCTATCCAGTGGTGTATATGTTGTCACATCCTAATGTGCACCGTCAGAGAAAATAAAGGTAACCCCTCTTTTTAGAGTTGTAATCATTTTATTGGAAGCCATTGAAAAAGTCACATTTGTGATATAACGTCCCAAATAATCATATCTCTATCAGAGAACACGGTGGAGAGCTAGGAAACATCTCATTTTGTAGAAAAATCTTTTCTCTACAAGACTGACTGTTTGAAAAGTTTATCAAACACTGAATGGAAGAGAAAAACAGTGTCGAAAGTAAGTTAAAAAATAAGGCTTTTTCAGCGTAAAGTGACAAACCTGAAAAAATTTGTATCTCCTCAACGGAAGGTCTTGGAGAGTTGGGGATGGTCCTGTTTTCTAGAGGACACTTTTCTCTGTAATGCACAATATTTAACACAAAAATAAAAATAAACGTCTAAAGTACTTAAATATAATGAGTGATTTTACTAAACTAAGGCGCCAGTAATTCAAAGTTCGAACACTTTTTAGTTTCCGTTTAAACACACATTTTTCGGATTTGTCGTAAGCTGCTGATTCCGAATCTGGCCTCATTTTTTGATTTAAATTAACTTTTGACGGAGAAAAATGGAAAATACTGACAAACTAACAAAAACTCGAAAAACCTATCTTTTCCAAAAAATTGTCTCAAACATTTACGTTTAAATTTATGGAATTTTCGGCGCGATATTCGGATTCTTCGTATGAAAATGAGCCTAGAAAACTTGTCTCGAGCTCGATCGCATATTACGTCCTCCCTACACAAACCCAAGCGGCCTAAACCCTTCGCTGCACTACCGAAAATGGCAAAGCCTACTAGTTTTTTTCCAGAGGATCTCTGGTAAACTTTGCTAGCTAAAAAACTAAATTACTACAAAATCTGATCGTTTATTAATCCTTTTTATCTATTTTGGGTTTGCCGAACTAAAAAATACTTACGAAAATACTACGAAAAAATAGAAGTAACTGATCATATTAACTTTGAAGAACCGTCGATATTAAATGATATTTCTGATTTGTTTTCTTTCTGTAAACAACAAATAAAAACTGGTTTTATCAGCACATTGGTATAGAAACGGATCGAAGTTTTCAAAAATTGATTATTTTAATGCTCGAAGTAAAACAAAATTTCATCGATAGAGAAATTCATTTAAAGCTATTTAGTCGATTTTGGAAAACAATACAGGCTTACAGTGTATAGATGCGAAAGAAAATTTCCAAAAATGATTAATATTGGTATTGAAACATTACCACTCCAACATCACTGGATTATTGATTATATACAAAAATCGTGTTTTTCTTCAAAGGTTTTTGGGAAACCCTTTCGTTAAGTCATTGAAATTTGGAATTTTCTTGTAGATTTCTTAAGAATAGCAGCGTGAATACTGTACATCTTGAAGATCCTAGCTCATTGATGATGTTTTTTCAATGAGTTATGAACTTTTTAATAATAGATGTGAACAACTTGGAAACCAGAATCTTCGTAAAACTCGGTTTTAATTAGATTTTTGAATTCTTTTTCAAAAACAAACATTGTCGCCAGATTCAGCGTGGTTGATTACCTATGTTCTATGTGATTTAAGATGATTCCAAGTCACCAGATGCCAGTCCTGCGACTCCACGGAACTCCAATACCATGCTCGGACCACTGAAAATCAAGGTCTCATTTGACTCCCATTTTGAATAGGACACTTTGGATTATCTGTCCATGGAAAAAAATTAAAATATTCGTACTAGAAGTTTGTGAGCTATGGTCTGATTTTCCAAAGACCTACCTGAAAACCTACTTCAAAGAAATATTTTTGGATTAATGGCACTTACAAAAAGGTGTTCCTTATTCTCTTCGTTTA